AGGTGCAGACAGTGTCCACAACTGCTTCAACTTCCCCTTCCACCCCCGCTTTGGGTACTTGGAGCTTGGCTTGGATGGCGAAGGGACGGATGGATGCACTCACCATCGGGTCATCTACACTATTCTCTTCCTCCAAGATGGAAGGGGTTTCCCCACTGGTTGGCTTTTCATCACCTTAGGTTGGGGATCAGCTTTCTGAGGTTGTTGACCCAGATGACTCTTTTCCGGTGGCTTCTGGGGCCTTCTCTTTACCATGCTGGCGGTTGGTGTGTGAGTTTGTGAGATTGGGACTGGAGCCAGGCACTCTGACGCTCTGTGGCCAGATTGACAGCAACAGTAGCATTTTATTGCCCCCCTCACCCCAAAGGAAGGAACCCGGTTGCATCTCTATATTTATGAGCCTCATCGCAATGCTCCGCTATCCATCCTGTACCTTCCCCTCATTCATCCCTTCTGCCACTGGGCTTCTCTGTCGGAAGGTGGGGTAAGAGCCTGTTGGGGCATTGCAGGTGGGACTGGAATCGGTTGGGAGGGGTCAATCCCTGGGTTGGCCCCTGCCCATTATCTAACATGGTGCCAACTGCTGAGGGAAGGCAGGCACCCACTGGGACCTCTCCCATCCATGATCTGGGAAGAAAGCCCACCCCGGTGGTGCTTGATTCACAGGCTGCAGCCCAAACATCGGTGGCTGGCTAGGGAGAGATGTGGCCCAAGCCTCTTTCTGCTGACTGGATTGATTTCCCCATGTTGGTGGCCAAGCAGGCAGCCACCGGTATCTCTCCTATCCATGATCTGGGAAGAAAGCCCACTCCGGTGGTGCTTGATTCACAGGCTGCAGCCCAAACATCGATGGCTGGCTAGGGGAAGTTGTGGCCCAAGCCCCTTTCTGCTGGCTGGATTGATTTCCCCATGTTGATGGGGGATCCATCTGCAGCTCAGCTGCAGGGTAATGCGTCATTTCACTTGTCGCTGTGTGGAAGGAGTAAAAATCTCCACTCCAGTGTGTTGCAGAGCCTCTGCTAGGGAAGGAGAATGTAGGTTGAGCCAGGGCCCAATTAGGTGGTCCTGGGCTAAAGCAAGGGTTGATTTCAGTCATGTTTAGCTGCACAAGTTGGTCTGGGAGGCTCCAATCATCTGGTCGGCACTGGGGTGGTTGCTTTGGTATTCTCCAGCCGTGTGTCGAAACAACCCTTTTAACCCCCTTTGGCTCCAACAGTATTTCCCCAGATGCCATAAATGTCCAGGCATCCTCCTCTGCAGCCCCCCTTCCAGCTTTGGAATGTTTACAGATTGTCTCCATGCAGATTGTCTGTCTGTCTGTCTGTGTGTGTGTGTGTCTCTATCTCTCTCACACACACACACATTTTGCATAGTAATCTGGTCAGTGGAATAAAACTTGAACTCTAAATGAGTGTATATATACCATCCTTTTTTAGTTTTATTTATTTATTTAAAAGATCCATATGGCTGCCGTATTATAATACAACCCTGTGTGACTCTCACCAGCAATACAACTAAAACAGCAAAATCATAAAAACAAGAATCCAGTGCCTTTCCTAGCCACAATTGACTTTTTGTTTTCTAATATGTCAGAAATTAAGAACTGCATATTTCCTCTTAAACAGAAAGCATTGGTAGCCGAAAATCCATGCTAAAAATATTAATATTCACCTTCAATATAGCATATGAGGATTATTTTGACATTCAGCATTTACAGTTAAGGCTAAATTAGTGACACTAGACCTGTGATGGCAAACTTAATGGCATGCGTTCTAGAGGTGGCACCCAGAGCCCTCTCTGTGGGCATGTGCATCATCGCCAGCTGCTCTTCCGGGTTCTGGTGCTCCGGCACACGGACACAGTCCAGTTTCAGCACTCAGTGCCGAAAAGATTAACCATCACTGCACTACACCTTGGTAATAATGATGGATTTTTCAACTACATTTTGTGAGTGAACAAGAAATAAAATCAGAGATAGCCAGGATGGCCTTCTTCAAATTGCTATCTTCTAAATGTTAATTAATATGCCGAATTGAAGATTATGGAAGGTGAAATCCCAGGCATCTGGAATGTGGTAGGCTAGGAATTACTAGCCTTAGTGATAAATGCTATCTTTTCATGAATGCTTATTTGGATAATCATGTTTTCAGGAGACTTTTACTTTCTGTGTGTGCATGGGTGTGATAATAAAACAAAATCCTTTTAGTTGACAACAATTATAGTACATTCAAGCATTTGAATCATTAAAAGTGATCAGGTTCAAAAATAAAAAAAAATGACCAAAGTTTATGTTTGGTACATTGTGCTAGTGATGTCTGCTTAAAGGAATACTAACTATATAGAAACGTAACATGGAAATGTAATGGATAAATTAATCACTGTGATCTAAATAACTTTGCTAAAATAGTAGACTGCCTGCTTAACTGAAAAGACATCGACATTCGAGGGCTTGTTATAGAAAAAGAAACTATTACATATTATTAGAAATTTAATTTATATGGAGAAATTTGTTTTTTTATCAATGTTTTAAAAATGTAACAAAATATGTATATATGTTCTAGTACAACTCCATGAAGCTGCCCAGTTATGCCCACTTTAATGATGTGCAACTGTTTATATTTTACCTATGTAAGTGTAATAGGAAATATTATTGTATTAAAGAAGACCATAAGGGTTTCTTAAATAGAGTCGCTTGTAGAGTGCTTAATAATTTTCACTTTCTCTTTATAATAGGGTCCTAAAATAGCAGCATTCTAGATGATACAAAAACCCATCATGAGAATTAAGTCTGCTACATGCAACATACTTGCAACAAAATGAATAAAGTGAATTAACTACTTAAAAGAGAAATGTCATAACAAAGGAGATGCAGAAACTGCAAGAATGCATTAGCTGAGGGCCAAAATACAGTAATTGATACAAATTGGATACAAATTTGTGAAGGTTGACTAGTAATCTTGCCAGGAAGTAAAGCATAATCTTATGAACAAGACCAGCTTTTGCAATACTTATTGAAAGATATTAACCATTTACCTTGAAAGCAATTATTTAAGTTTATCTAAACAAATCTTGATGGTAAGCAAAGTAATAGTTGGCACTGAGCATAAGCAGTTGAATTTATGTTTGCTTCATATATCTGGATTGCAAATAAAGCAAAAGATAATGATGGACATCCCTATTGACATAGCAGTTACACTCAAACTTCCGTTCTGTAGCGGTTCCCAGGGTGAAAGCATTAATGCATCTGGCTAGAGACTTATTTCAAGCAGAAAAGCAGAGATGCAAAGCTGAAGCAGATAAACAGCACCTGCTCCCTTATTAGAAAGACAGATGATAAAGTGGAGTCTGGTGTCTTCCTGTTCCCTTAATGCCACAGCAAGGGATTTCGGAAGCAGAGTAGGACAGTGGAGTGCTCCTTCTTTTCCTCGTCCTCCGTACAGTCAAATACTTTGGTAACAATGGATGCATACTTTGGCAAATTCAGGATTAGTCTCTTCACCTTCAAATGAGAAATTCCAATAATGCCTACCTCTCACATTTTGTAAAATTCTTTTATGGATTATTAAAGCCGTGGATCTTTAATAATTCTTATTTACAGTTATGCCAAATTTCTTACAGCATACATTTCACACCAGCATGTTTTTTAAATCTCAAAATGAGATGGATAATTATATTTATAGTATCTTTAATACTGCTAAAAATTCTCTAGCTACCGATCAATTTCAGTTTTAATTCAAAATACAGGTGTTTTAAACCCTATATAATTCAGGACTAATGTTACCTGGATATTTTCTGCTACAGAAAACTGCATATTAACAGTAAGTGATCCAGGTATCCCTGCTATCCAAGGTCTGAAAGCTGCAGTAATTTTAGATAATTTTGACTGTGATATGACACAAATGGAATTTTTTGTCCAGATAAATTAATCTGAGGCAAACAATGCTATTGAGTTGCCATCAACAGAAAATACTTGTCTACCCTGCTTCTAGTCAGATGTTCCCTGCTATGCAAGTAATGTCTCTTTTCTAGAAAAAAAACCTTCAAGGATTCCTAGTATCAGGGAATGCATTAATACTTAGTATCAGGGAGAAAATTATTCCAGGTCTATTTTTATGAACACTGATTTCAACTAGTTCTAATACTGTTTCTCTTAATTGTGAGGTTTTGTGGTTATCTTTGTAATTTTGATTTATAGATTAAACTTCCCTTAATATTCAAAGTTCATTCAGTTCCTTTTAATCTCACTAATTGTAGAGTTTTCCTATTTTCTTAATTTGCAACTTTTTCTGATCTTTTCTCGATCTCGCTCTTATAAAAATAAGGTCTATACATTTTCTCCTTTTGATTTTCTCATCAGTGAGGCCCACCTACATTAGTTGCTGTTTGGATCTTTGCTTCTTAGAACTGAATTTTCTAATAACTATTGAACAAAGTAATTATGCAATCACATATTTCTCACATAATTTTACTTTTTTAAAATTTACCTTTTTGTAATTATTTCAAACTGTAGAAATGTCAAATACTATGAGAAAAAAATATTCTTCACTATGAACCAAATATTCTACCTAGTCATCTATAATTATGCTCTTAATGGTTTGAAAAAGGATATTGCCGACAATTCTGATGTACCGTATTTTTCACAGTATAAGACGCACTGGAGTATAAGACGCACTGAGGTTTTGAAGAGGCTTTTTTTAAAAAAAAAAGTAGGTAGGTAGATAGAGGGGGAGAGAGGGATAGAGAAATACAGTAGGGAGGGAGGGTAGGTAGGTAGAGGTATGGAGAAATATGGTAGGGAGAGAGGGAGAGAGTAGGTAGGTAGGTAGGTAGGTAGGTAGGTAGGTAGGTAGGTAGGTAGGTAGAGGGATAGAAAGAAAAATACAGTAGGGAGGGAGGGA